GTCTGAAAAATATCCCAACTTTGGTCGGATTTGCTGTTGCGATATTAAACTTTCATAAGGACCTATTACCTCCCTAAACTATTTAATACCGTATTTTTTACCCCCTGAACTATTTAATAGTGTATTTTAAAGGTATATATGTGCTCACGTGGACACATTACTATTTATAATTTTGCATTATTTTTTATGTCCACGTGGGCAAATATATATGTTTAAAATACGATATTAAATAGTTTAGGGAGGTAATAGGTCCTTATGAAAGTTTAGTATCGTAACAGCAAATTCGACCAAAGTTGGGGTATTTTTCAGACTCTTATCCCTTTAAAATATAAATCCGTTTCACGAAAAATCCAATATTAATAGATAGTAAACGAATACGGTGCCGTTTTAACTGGTCAAAACCAGTACTGAAAAATCTACAAAAACAAACAAGCATCTATGTCCACTAGCTCCCAAGATTTTCGCCATTTTCTTAAATCAGTGAAGGTAAAGAAAAGCTTTTTTCGCCATGGCTAAAGTGGCTTCTAGTTCTATTGGACTACATAGACCGAAGCCCTTTCATTTTCGACCTAATCAAACTTTGCACTCTGTAAAACCTTTCAATTATCAGCTGAACAATCTTCAAAAGTATCAAAGAATATACTGCCAAACAGAGCCCAAAACAGGGGATTGCTGCCAACCAAACTCTGACCCGTCTGAATCTGCAGTAAAGGTTTAGTCTTTTCACTTTCTTTGTTGTTTTTGTTGATACCCATTAAGGTTTATTTGGGTGGGTTAGCAGTGGAGTAAAAACTAAAAAGTGTGCAGTTTTGTGAACTTTTGAAAAGGGTATTTTTGTTTTAGTGTGATTGAAGATGGAGGAAATTGAGCAACCCCTTTACTTAAAGGACCTTTTGGGTCAAATTCCCATGTTGAGGGAAGTAGTTACTAGTTAGTGATAGTGTTGTTAATTAACCTACTTATAAAGAAAATGGAGTGTTGTTAATTAGTCTCAGGATGTGGCGTAGTGGCCAATGAAGAGGGTTGATAATCCTGAGGTCTTAGGTTCAAATATCATTTGATGATTTCTTTCCACCTATCTAAGCCTTGGTGGGGTGGAGAAAGTTATGCTACTTGTGCTAGTGAGAGTTAGCACATATCCCAGAAATTAGTCGAGGTGTGTCCAAGTTGGCGAAACACCGTGATTAGTGAGAGGTAGCGAGTATCCTATGGAATTAGTCGAGATGCGCTAAAGTTGGTCCAGACTCCACGGTTATGAAAATATCGTAAGTTACTTACAAAAAAGCAACAACATACCCGGTGTAGTTCCATAAGTGGGGTCTGGGGAGGGCCGTGTGTATGCAACCTTATCTCTACCTTCTGAAGGTACATAGGTTGTTTTGGTCCAGACTCCACGGTTATGAAAATATAGTAAGTTACTTAACAAAAAGCAACAACATACCCGGTGTAGTTCCACACGTGGGGTCTGGGAAGGGCGTTGTGTATGCAACCTTATCTCTACCTTATGAAGGTACATAGGTTGTTTTGGATAGACCCTCGGATCAAGTAAAGGATAACCGAAAACAAAGAAAAATATCAGGTAATAGTAAAATCAAAGAACAAGATAGTAGGAGAGTAATAACAATATTAATGATTAGGGAAACTAGACAACGCTCGACTACCTATTAACCTTTTACCCTAATCTTCGACATCCATATCCTCCTATCTAGGGTCATGTCCTCGGGAAGTCACCTCTCCCCGAATAAAATAAACTTGAAAGTTGTTAATTGACTTATTACTTAATGAAAAGGAAATATAGTGTTAATAATTTCCAACATACCTATTTATATGTGAAAGCTCTGGTATAATATGTTGCATAGAAAAAGAAATAGTATTAACAAAGAAACTAAATTCATTAATATCAACTTTGCAATGTTTTAGGTTTCGCTGGTGAGGTGATGCATTTACATAGAAAGTATAGCTAGTGGTGCAATATAATCTTCAAGTTGATATATATACAATTTTGATGGCATTACAGCTTTCTCAATGCACACTGACCCATTCTGATAATAATCCCTTGGATATTATTCATGTCTGGTGTAATATTTTGACTAGAATCTGATGGTTCAGCTAAATGTGTACTGTACAGGAGAAGTCGTCAATAGAACCAGGTGCTGGCAATGAGAGTAGTAAAGCTGAAGTCTCTCCTCCCTCTACTGGCCCTGAATATCCAACCAGAGACTTTAATCGGCGGGTAGCACTAGTGTCTGTCCTTGCAGCACTAGGACTTTTCTCTTCTCCAAGGCTAGATTTAGGTGTTTCTTTGAAGGATATCACGGCTGCAGCACTGCCATATGAAGAGGTTAGTGTACAAGCTTGACCATCATTTCCTATGATTATTTGTTTTGTTGCGTTCATTTGTTATCTCCTTTGCTTCAATCTACTTTTAGTTGACACAACACAAGGGTTTGTTTATTTCTTTAAAAATATGATAACACACCCTACCCTAAGCAAATCTAAGCCTACGTGTAGTTTTCTTTTATATTCCTTTCCTCTAAATCACAGATACGTACTTTCTCTATTGAGTCGTTTCAACTGTAGTTTCTTTCTTACGTTTTCTGTTTAATTTTCTTTTTGATCTCATCCCATGCAGGCTCTTTCCAATGGAAAGCCTACTGTTGTAGAATTCTATGCCGATTGGTGTGAAGTTTGTCGAGAATTAGCTCCAGATGTCTATAAAGTTGAACAGCAGTACAAGTAAATCTCTTTTTTTTGTTATTGATTCCTGATAACCTACACTTTTTCCAATCAATATAATAGAGCTGTCTTTTAGTTTTTCTTTTCAGAGAGAAATTTCCATTTCTTCAATAGTATGTGCATGTTTGAGTTTCTGCTTGCTCTTTGAAGCATGTGTTAAGAGTTAGCAATATGCATAGCACAAGTCCATGAACAGTTTCTGTTAAGAAGGTTCATGGTCTTGTCTATCGGGAACGGTCTGTGTATATCTCACCTTCCCCAACCCCGTTTGTGAGATCACACTGGGTATGTTGTTGTTGTTAAGGTTCATACTGTTAATGCAGGGACCGCGTGAATTTTGTTATGTTGAATGTGGATAACACGAAGTGGGAACAAGAGCTTGATGAGTTTGGAGTTGAGGGTATCCCCCATTTTGCATTCCTGGATAAAGATGGAAACGAGGAAGGTAATGTTGTTGGCCGTCTTCCAAAACAGTATTTGCTTGAGAATGTAGACGCCCTTGCAAATGGAAAAGAATCAATACCTTATTCTCGCGCTGTGGGACAATATACAAGTGCTGAATCGCGCAAGATCCATCAAATTTCTGATCCGAGAAGTCATGGTTAGAGCTAATACGCACCCAGATATATTACCCAAACAAACTATCATCAATTCTTGCAAGACTTGCATTTGAAATTGAGTAAGGAGTGACAAATACCACTTGCTAGTCTGTAAGTTTGGCACTATTTTCGCACACTTCGTTGTATATATGAATATGCAGACTGCCATAATGTATTGCACAAGTGACCCTCTTCTTTATAGCTAATTCCACAGGTTAGTTTACTGTGTGTTCTAATATTCATTGTTGCCGATATAGAGACTGCTCTCCACAATGATGTTCATTTTCCTTGCGCGGTGGGGTTCTTAGTGGTTATGTCGGGTGAGGATCTTGTTTTGAAGTCTGAATATCGTATTGAAACATGTTTCTGTAAAAATAACAATCAGCTAGCAAATGTTCCCCCATCTACACAGACGAAAAAAAGAAAGAAAAAAGCACCAATATCCACACAGCCAAAAAATACATGAAGTTGGCTATGAAATACTAAAATCAGATACTGAAAGTATGTTCTTTATTTTCACTGTAGCTGAAAAAATAATACCGACTTCTTTCACTCAGAGATACGGTTTAGCAATGACCAAAGCGATCTGTCTCTCAAGCAGAATAAGTTAAATCCTCACTTAAAAGTACAAAACATATAACAACACTTGCGTATTGGTAAGGAAGTGGAGAGGGAAAGTGTCCACCCACAATAAGAATAGCCTTGTGAATCAGAGGGTTCTGATTGTTTCAATTTTAACACAACTCTAAATAAAGGGCAAAAAAGAACATTGAAGCTATAGCTTTAACATCTGCACAATGAACACCTTCCCTGAAATAGAATGTAGAGCTCAAATCGCCTAAGATCAAAATGTTCTGATTTTTAGAACTGCAAGCGCTCTAAAACATTAGTGAGCCACCAATTTGGGCGCTGGTAGTTTGATCAATTCCCTGTACTCTCCACAGCTACTGTCACACCAACTTCAGCAGGTCGGATAATTCGGCCATGCAAGGAGTACCCTGGCTGCAAACAGAAGTGCAATTAAATTGTCTGCTGTTCATTTGAATTCTAATGTGAGGCATTTCCATTATATTTGAGTTGTGTAAAGACCGCAAATGCTTCTATGATGTTGCTTCAGGACTATGCAAAAGAACAATCAAATTACTTGTAATTGAAAAGAAAATACTAAACAATACCTTAAGACAAACAGCAATCATTCCAGGAGCCTTTTCAGGATCAGGTACTTGAAATACTGCATTATGCTTATTTGGATCAAATTCTTCATTTGTGGGATCAATTTTTTCAACACCAAATTTTTTGAATACCTGAAAAGCCAAAAGAAGCATCTTAGATCTAAAGGAGAACCCACATGCGGAAAGGATAAAAGATCCATAACATAGTGCAAAAGAACATTTACAATACCCCCTGGACCTCAACAAGTAGTATGAAAACAACATTGAAGTTTGAAATAGGACAAAAAGTACTCTAGGCAGATGGGCGATGGTCAATAGCCAAAAGCTAATGGCTACTATCATTTCCCAGAGGTATGTTCCTATTTATTAAACCTTCAATGTGAACTTGTAACTGGAGCAACTAGCAAACCTACTACTGAGATTTTTCAGTGTCCAAGATCTTTTTCTTGCAACTCATTTACCGCAGCTGCACGCGAATATCGCAAGCCTGTTTTTGCGTCTTATATTTATTTCAGAAGCCAGGTGTGGCATTTGCCTGAAGAAAATCTAAAGCAATGGCCCCCTTTGCCAAAACTTATCAGCCTAAGAGTGTAATTATGAAATAGCTAGCTTAGGTTGGTGAATATAGTGGCATGATCACCGTGCCCCATTCAGACCTTAGGTTGGGGGATATGGATTCACACTACACTTGAATAGCTTAGAGTACACACTTCATGTCATTTACACTGACCTACTTTATATCGTAGTGCGGCTTACAAAGCTGGCAAATCTTGTCGCCATCCAGCAATTTTAATACTATTCTATATATACACCAGTTGTCGGATCCTATATGACATATTTACTAAATGGAGAGTCAAATAATCCTTTGAATGTGATATCTCCGACAATTGTAAAAATATTTATATTATAAAAAAACTTGTGATTCATAGTAATTCTATGTTTTAAATATTTAAATTTAATTCTAACAATAATCGTTGTCGAACAGCTTCCCAGCATAAAGGGGAGTTCTTTTTAAGTGGGTTGCTTCGTGCTCACAACAAAACTGAGAGACTTCGCCTTCATGCTCCAAAACACATCCTCCTTTCATTTTGAAATAAAGAGTTCTTCAAAGTTGATTGTCTTAGCATATTTTGACCTATTTTTTACTTTTCAAACTTCTCTAGACACGTTACCAAACTTGAGTTAATAATGTGTCACATACTTGACCCTAATATAATATAAGTTAACCAATAGAATACAAGACGAGGTTCCATAGTGCATGCTATTTGCAGATGATTCTGTGTTAACTGAAGAAACGAGTGAGGAAGTCAATGAAAGTTAGAATTACTGAAAAGCACTCAAGACTACTATGGTTCTCATGATAAGTAGAAGGTAAACGCAACATACTCAACAGAGGGTGCAAATGGAAACAGGAAGGATAAAATAAGTGAATGTAATCCGAGATGATTCCACCGTGTCTTAAGTGCGCCTTAAATATGTGCAACAGTGTGATTATAGGCAGTGATAAAAGGAAAGAATATAGACCTATAATCTCTCAAATTAATGTGGATATAGCACAAGAACATAATGCAATGCATCGGGAGCTATTCAAGCGTTGGGATTAAGACAATTTATTTTTTTGCAAAGGAACTCTAGTTGGGACTAAGACTTAGTTGGTGTTACTTCTGTATCGGGTAAAATATCTGTCAAAGTTCATTCAATTCATGTTAGATATGAATACTTGTGTTGGGGTGTGTGAGATTAAAAGAACCTGTACTTGATTGATTTAGCTTTTTAATTGTTTTTTTTTTTATGACTGTAGTGTCCGGGCCAGTTTTTGCGCACTTCGACTAATTCCACGGGACACCTGCCACCTCCACCAATAGCAGATACCAGATACCAAGTAACTCTGTCCACCTGGTACCTGTAGCCTTTAGTTGATAGATTTCCCTTTAATTTAAGCAAACACGAACTAGTTGGAATTGTGACTTAATTGTTGCTACACTTGAACAAGGTTTGATGTTTTCCAGAAGTTCTTTTTATTTTTGTTAAGACTTGTATTTTTGTGAAGGGATTTGGAAAGCCTATAAATTATAATTGATTAATTTTGTTTTTGTTCTCCCAACAAATCAAAAGGATCAACCACGAGACATTCATTTGTTTATTTCTATTACATAAGAGTACTAATGATTAATTTCTAATTATTAGGTATGATTGAAAAAAGTGCATACTAATAGAAAGTGACTCTTCCATCCTAGAAAGCTGAAATTTTGCTCTCCCTGCTCTTTCACTTCATAACCAGACAAAGAGAAAACATGATAACCTAATTTTACTTCCAGAGTTCAATTCCCCCGCCCTTTTTTTAGCCCATGAGGGCACAGACAAGTTGAAGTACTAGATACTTGTTTTCCACAATCCACCGTAAAAAAACATGAGAGATGTGGTACAATATATTTACAGGGTAAGAGTGTACCTCCGCCAGCTGTTTATCAGTCATTTCAACACCTTCCAGAAGTGTCTTCAGAAGTGGCACGGCACCAGTTGTGTCTTTAGATACATCAATTTTGGAAAAGCTCTCTTTTACAACAGAAGAAGCCCTCCCCAGATTATCAGAAACGTCTAGAAGGGATTTCACAAAATTCTGCAGCATTATTAGTACAAAAGATGAGAGAAATAGAAGGGCAACTTAGAATACCGAAAATTAATCTTGCTTATGTAGCATAGACTGCGCTTACAAATACTAACCTGAATGGCAAACTTCTTAGTATTTTCTGCTTCTCGTCTAGTTCTCTCCATGACATTCTCCATCTCTGCATAAGTTCGAAGAACCTTATCCTGCATTTTCTGAAACTCCTCATGTTTCATCTTTAGGAGTTCTTCCTTCTCAATCACACATTTCACCAGGTCATCCCTGGAAAGGTCCTCCAAATCCAAATCTGAATCAGAACAAGAAAAAACATGCTGTTTAGTACATCTTCTGCTTATGGAATTTTCAGTCATGTTAAACTGGAAAGCATATCGCAACTTGATTCTTTCTTCTCATCCTGAACGTTAGAATCAGCAGAAGCTGAAGCTTTCTCTGCTCCGCTTCCTCCTCCACCTTGGGACTGAGATGTTTCTTTTTCATCAGGTTGGGGGGATGCAGAGGATGAGATTCCAAACCGTTGCAAGGCAGATTCAGGTACTAGAGACACCTAAGCCATAAACACAGTCAGCAGAATCAGCAATGAAGTTCGAGAATGTATATCAAACCACTGCCCATGCATCGTTTTACAAGACGAGCATATTATCATTGTTTTTCGCAAACTTGGCTACTTATAATGAAATGAAGCAATTAGGAATCTTTTTTGTTTTTTTCAAAATTACGAATCATTTTACCCTGCATATAAGTCTTGCCCTGCATTTTCAGTTCATTCGAGAGCCAAAAATATACAATTACATACTGCAGATTAGACAAGGCAAAACAGTTATATCTACACTGTTTGAATTCCAAACAAATCTCAACTCCTTTACTACTTCTACTAAACTATATGTGAGACTTCCCGATGATGCTAATGAATCAAACTTTCCCAAGATTAAAATTTTGGGAGCAAGCCATTAAAAAGCACAGACTTTACTAGATAAAACTGAAGTTAAAAATAACATCAAATTATGGTCCAAACAGAAGCCTGCTGTACACGAAAATTAAGCTAAGGCAAAATGGTTATCTACACTTTTTGAAGTCCAACAAGTTTTAACTTACCTCCTCCTTCTACTAAACTATATCTGAGAGTTCCAAATGTTGCTAATGACTCAAACACATCAAATCCAAAATCTTCCAAGATCAAATTTTGGCTACAACCCATTTAAAAGTAGAGACTTTAATAGATAAAACTGATGTTAAAATTAACATCAAGTTGTGGGTCCAAAGAGAAGCCTATTGTACAGCTAAATTACAGTTTCCGCTTAAACCCCTAATCCACAAAAAAAGGGAAAGAATTGAAAGAGAATTCACAGTTCCCAATGTTGCTAATGACTCAAAGATATGAAGTCCAAAATCTTTCCAAGATCAAATTTTGGCAACAACCCATTTAAAAGTAGAGACTTTAATAGATAAAATTGAAGTTTAAAGTAACATCAAGTTGTGGGTCCAAACAGAATTCTATTGCACAGCTAAATTACAATTTCTGCTTAAACCCCAGCAAAACCCTAATCTACAAAAAGGGAAGAACTGAAAAGAGTATTGGGGCAGCACAAAGATTGTACCTTTTCTCTTATATTGCGAATTGAATGAAACTGACATGAAAGTATGGGCAGATGGTGCTGTTGATTCTGTCGATAATAAAGGAGCAGCGAGTTGCGGCACTGTGTCAACATATTCCTTGAGAATCGAGATGAGATTCTACTCAACACCATAGCTGAATTTAGGGTTTTTGCTATGAAAATTGCAGTGAGATTGTAAATTTTAGGGATGGCGGTGGAACAATGAAACAGAGAAGGGTTTTAGGAGAGAGAGAGAGAGAAGTGGAAAAGGAAAAAGGAAATTTTATTTGGAACACAAAACAAAAAAAAAAAATCTTGAATTAAATTTTGCAGCCAAACAAATAATTAAAAATCAAATGTAACCCCAAAGTTGTAGAACCTTATAGATTATTATTACTACAGCATGTTACAATCAATGATCACAAATTAATATTGGATCTCTTTTTTGGACATAATTACTCATAACAACAATAAATTTAGTGTAATTTTATAATGGAAATATGGGGAGAAGATGGTGTGTCTTAAATTGGATTTATAGCAGATCATGTATACGTAGGATTGCTTCTAATAGTCCTAATCTTGAGTAAAGCATATCAAATGACAAGTATGTTAAAGTAAAAATAATGAGGAAGAGAACAATAACAACAACAAATAATATACTAATTACTTAAGCAAAGAAAAACAATAGGTATTACTAAATTCGAAGAATAAGAGAGTAGGAAACTGATACTAGTAAATCTTAAAAGGAAAACACGCTCGATTACCTATCATTCTAGTGTAATCCTTGAACACCATATCTTTTAATCTAAGGTCATGTCCTCGGTAAGTTGTCAAAGCGTCATGACTTAGTTAATCAGCTCACTCCAGTACTTTATCGAAACGTCTACCTCTCTCATATTCACGTAAGTCAACTTCTTGCACCTCTTCACTAGGGCATCTGGTGCATTTTCTCCTAACATGCTTGATCATCTCAATCTTGCCTTCCTCATCTTGTCTACCATGAAAGTCACTCCACATTGTATCGAATGCGTTGGTTTTTTCTTTATCATATCTCTTTTAATTTGTCAACATCCTTATTCCTACTCCTTACATCTGCTAGACATGTGAGTTCTTGATCGAAAAACACTCTTTTTAGTACGATATAGTTGTTCTGACCAACACTTTATATAACTTGTCTTTGAGGCATGGTAACATTCTTATCACACAAGACATCAAGTACAAACTTTCATTTCATCCACCGTACCTCAATACGATATGTAACATCATTACAAATGAATCGTGACATTAACATTGAAATTATATCTCATAGAAGGAAATTTCACATTGAGCAAGTACTAGAAATAGATACACTTTCCTTAAAACTATGAAATCTAATATTTGGAGATTGTTTCAAATAAAATGGAGGTCTAAACACAAATTCAACTCTAAATGCTATTTTTTCAAACTTCAACCAACTTATGTCCAAATGTCTAACTAAAAATGAAACAAGTTGTATCATATAACTTCATGGTAAACTTTAACAACATGAGGCACCAGTGGTCTAGTGGTAGAATAGTACCCTGCCACGGTACAGACCCGGGTTCGATTCCCGGCTGGTGCACTTTGAGCTGTGAAGAAATTTGCATTATGCGGTGATTAGGGTCTCCGCAATTGTCTGATTAGATGATTAAATAGCGCATCTGAGCTCTTAATTTTTAATTTTTTCTTACTTATATTTTTGTGCCATTCTAGTTCATATATGTTTGTATTCCAAGGATAATTTAATTTTCACTTTGGGTGACAACTAGATAGTTCACGTGTATACCTCTACGAATCACATAATCATGATAAATTAGTTCGATTAGATAAAAACACTAGGTGCAGGCAAGTATTAGTCAAATGTTTATTTGTAATTGCCTTATTTGTACTCACTTCTTCTCTAGGGAAATTTTGTTGAAGGAGAAGTTGCAACAACAACAAACTCGTGTAATTTCACAAATGGAGTCCAAGAAGGGAAGATGTATGCGGACCTTATTCCTACCTTTGTAAGGTACATAGGTTGTCTCTGATTGACCCACAACTCAAAAAGTAAGTATCCGACACATAAAAGTAGAAGTTAGTACTTTGAAGCTCTACTATGTGAAGTGCATATACTTCTATGCAACAACATAACCAGTGCAATCCCACAAGTGGCGTCTAAAGGTGATAGAGTGAACACAAACCTTACTCTTATCTCGTGAAAGTAGAGAAGTACAGTATTTATAATTTAGAAAAAGAACATCACTACAGTCAAGGGTAGCATCTTCCAAATACGAAAGTAAAATATGGCAAAACGCAAAACTCTAGAGCTTCTGCTTGTAGAACTTTGACTAGTAACTAGTAAGACAAGTCATTTCACCAGGATACATAATCAGCCTAACTCTTCATAAAATCTGTGGAGTCTATATAGTGTTCGAAGATTAACCACTTGGATTAAACATTACAATAAACTCAATCATCTTGGTTGCTTGGGGAAGTGCAACTTGATCAATGTTGGTAGTTCAGTCAGCTCAACCTGGGGCTTACCCAACAAGACACTCTTCAACTTTTCATCGCAATTAACCAAGTTCTTGTTGTTTGGATCCTAAAAGCAGGAACATCACAGAGAAGTCATGATAAAGCTAAAATCATTGCAGTTCTGTCAAAAACCGATCGAGTGTAATATTTGACGCAACATAACAACTAGAGAAAATATCTATAACAGCTTCTCACAGCCTAGTTAAAATGTGTATAAATCATATGAGAACATGAGAAGGATTGAGTGAACTAAATGAAGGGAGAAATCAACAATTATTTCCTCTGTGCATAGGGAAACAAATTGCTTCATAAAAGGAATAATTTAACGGATGTGAGAAATAGAGATAAACCATGCAGAGCAGTGATCCAACGGTTCACCTATACATGTTGGAGTTACATCCACAGTTACAGACGCAGTGAAACATATATACCCATTAGGCTTATGTTGTTTGCTTAGCTATAACCTTTAAGCAGCCTCCTGGTTCTATGCTAGACTTAAGTGCTGTATATCCATGTCCTCACTCTATATTTTAAAAAATATCAGAACATCGTTTACAAGAAAACCATGCCAGAGGTTAAAGAAGCAGATTCTTAACAATTAGAATATCATTTACTAATTAATATCACTAATGCGAAAAGCTACTTGTTCTAACTCCCAAGTTTTATGGGAACCATTCCATTTTAAGACGTCCAAAAAGGCATCATTCCATTTAACTTTCAGAACAAAAGAATTCAAATTCATTACACTAAAACTTTAAACTTTGATCTCAATGATTTCTCTATCAAACCAACTTCTCAACAATTACTTTATTACTTTCTTCCTTTTTTAATAATGTAATATATAATTCAAATAACATCTTAAACTTCCAAATAAGTCAAATACTTGCATTATAAAATGGGATGGAAGATCCATCAACCATGATAAACCCCTTTCAAGTTTATCCTTGTTTACTCATTAATGTGGTTTAATAAAATGGGCATAAAAGCACAGCTAAAGATATCCCAGATATGGAAGGGGTTGTCTTTGAAACGGAGTAAATATGGACATATGGTTCTGCGACCAGAAACCATAATAATACAGAGGCTAATATAGGTACCTGGAGATTGTTCTCTTTGATGTAACACCAGACACGCTTAAAACAACCCAAGCGGGAGGTCTGTGACTGACCCATGAACTCTCTAAGTGTTGAAGGGAGATTTACAAGGTCAATCAAATTGGCTAACTTTTTTGGGTTGTCTGTCATAACCTTTTTCATCCGCTGTGGCAGCATTTTGTTAGCTTCTCGCTCCCCTGCAAGGAGAAAAAAATCTTCCCATTAGATTCTCGTCCCCGCTGGATATCAAAAGATTCTAGCTTTCCTCCAACACAATAAACTGAGCATAACCAGGCAGAGCAACAAGCCTGTCTACAGCTTAGGCACAACACAATAGCTTTGGTGTAGACCTGTATTTATTTTAAAAATCTAATTAAGTGGGGGTTTGGACGTAAAAATTGTGAAATTCATAAAAAAGTAGTATGTGTTTTTCAAGTTGAAATGGGTAGCATGAATACAAATTGGAATTGTTTTAGAATTTCTGTGAGTGATTCGAAGCGAGAATTGTGAAAATAACTTGTTTGGGTTTTTCAAATTCTGAAAAATTGTAACAATTCTATGTCAAAACAGTTATCCAGGATAAAATCCCGGACAAAAGTGAATAATCCTAGCCAAACAGGCACTTAATATATATAAATAGGTTATCAAGAATCCATTACGCTATATTTTCTAGAATCTAAAACCCATAAACTCAAAATCCTAACACCACAAGATCATTCATGCTCAGACCATGAAAAGCTGTCACTTTTCAGGTATATTAGAAAAGCAAAATCAAATATTTACTTATAACTACAGTTGGAGAGCTTAAAAATGAAACGCATAAGCATAATTGAACACTACAATTTCTAAGAGGCATTTCATCAAACACATAGAGTTCAACAAAAAAAAAAACTCACTACTGAGAAACCGCAAAGTAGGAAAATTGGGACAAAGTCAGTGTTGCAGTAATAGAAGAGCCATAACAAGGAGAAAGAGGCCACAGACCTCGCACTCGTCAGCAATGGAATTTGGGAGCAACAATTTGGTGCTCGCCGTTCTGCCAATTCCTTTTTCAGCTTCTTTTTATTTCCTCTGCAAGGGGCTTTGCAGTATAAGTAACTACTAGTTGGCTTAATACAATTTATTTGCCTAAATACCATTTGTTATAAATTGATTAGATATTTTTTTATTAGAATTTTGATATATTTTATATATATTTTCTCGAGTGATTGTTACAACTCAATAATATATCGAGTGAATTCCATAAGTTGAATTTGAGAAGGGTGGTATCCGTATATCTTACCTCTACTTTTATATAGATACAATACGAGGACTTCCCAGAGGTTATCGATCCTAGTAGTACTATCGTCCAAACACACCTAGTTTTAAAGTTCTGATAGAATTTAGTGTGTTAATGTTGGTACAATCGCATCCTTCAAATAACAGTAGATAAAAATATTAATGATATGATTTGAGCACCATGAGATCTCAGGTTCAATTCTCAACAGAGGAAAACACTAGGTCATTTCTTGTCATCTGTTCTAACCTTGATAGACAGAGTTATTTGGTACTTATTACTAATGGGAGGTGACAGGTATTCCTTGGAAACAAGATGCGTGCAAGCTGGATAGGACATCACTGTTATATAAAAAAAAGGACGTAAAACATCATGCTTGTCCAATTGATGTTGATATGCATAACTAAAAGAGATGACATATTTTATGTCTATCTAATAGACGTTTGAGAACACACATGAAAGGTTTTTTCAAAAAATTGAATTGAAAGTATCACATAGAAACATTTTATCATGTTTATTGAAACAAGATGTTGTTGTCGATTTATTAAGGGAAAAGGCATAAATTTCCCCTTCAACTTATACTGAAAAGTCAGTTACACACTTCAACTATTATGACGACCTATTACACACATTTACTACTTAAAAGTGAATTTATTTACTCCCTAAAACTGACGTGTCAAAAAAATAAAATAAAAATAAAAAACTGGCGCGTCAGAAAAAATTAAAGTTAAAAAAAAAATTAAAAAAATCAAAATCTTCTTTTCCCCTTCCATTACCCTTTAGAAAAAGAATTAAAAAGTCAAAATCTTCCATCCCCACCCATTACCCTCTTCTTCTTCATTCTTTAATTTTCATCACAACTTTTTATTTTTCATCACAACCTTAAAGATTCACAATGACGTGAGTGTAGTAGTGGTGTTGTTGGTTGTCCAGATTATTTGTTGGTTTTTCAGATCTGAAAGTATGGAGCTCTTTGGAACTTCATCGGAGCCATGGCTGAAGCTTTGAGCTTGCCGACGCACCTTTAAAACAAATCAAAAGAATAAAATCGCAAAGGGATAAGGTAAGGGGGTTTGGTTTGGTGTTTGTTGGTGATTGATTTGGATTTTGAGTGGCTGTTTTGTGGTGGTTGTTTGGTGGCTGATGGTTCGTCAAAAAAGAAGAACAAATGGCGTTGTGGAGGTGGACTTATGGTGGTGATGGGTTGGTTGTTCTTCGCCGGAGAAGACAAAGAAAATTCTTGTATAAATTCAAATGAATGATTTCTCCGATGAGATTAGAGAAAGTGGGTGGGATTATAAAAAAGATACAACTATTAGAGAATTTTAATAATTAATTAGAGATTAATTAGTGTAAAATAGAGTTAACAAAAAGAAAGTTAATTAATAAAGAAAAGAAAACAAAAAGAATAGAAAAAAATATAAAATTTGACGTGGCACTGACATGGCGATGACGTGGCAGCGAGTGTAATACACTACATGCTGTGAGAGTGGTGTTACACGTCTCAGGGAGTAAATAAATTCACTTTTAAGTAGTAAAAGTGTGTAATAGGTCGTCATAATAGTTGAAGTGTGTAACTGACTTTTCGGTATAAGTTGAAGGGGGAATTTATGCCTTTTCCCATTTATTAATAGTATATACTTTAATTAGATAACCTAAGAAGACCACAAGGAGCACCAGTGGTCTAGTAGCAGAATAATACTCTGCCTGCCACGGTACAGACCCAAGTTCGATTCCTGGCTGGTGCATTTGAGCCGTGAGGAGATATATGCGTCTTATGCGGTGATTTGGGTCTCCGCAATTGTCTGATTCTAAGACGATTCAATAGCGCATCTGAGCTCTCAAGTTTTTGCACGTTTTAATCTTAAATTTAAATGAATTGAGTTTAGCATCTTCTAAAAGCAATATATTTACCCCTCATAAAGGTAGAGGTAAGGATTGCATACATCCTATCCATCCTAGACTCGTTTGTGAGATTACACTAGTATGTTGTTGAGTTCCAAATCTTTACATTATGAGTCCACTTCATACTGGTGGTGTTTGCACCGTTCAATGAATACATGACAAGTGTTTTTACATACCCTAACATCACATAATCATAATTAATTATTGCACATTTTTATCTGTGGTTTTTATATTGAACCGTGCTAACACAGAAATAAAGATCTTCATGTATTCAAAATTCTGAAGATAATATGTTTATATGTGCCACCATAATTGCCAGCTGATAGTATGTTCATTAGTCCTTGTTGAACCCAAAATTGAATGTAGAAATTCTCAATGTGAGAGACCAAAAAGGAATAAGGTTACAAGATATAACAAACCAAATTCAGGCAGTAATAAACTTCAAATTCTACCAGCTCTAGGCCGCGATTAGTCATAAGGATTCCTGAAATTCTTGAGAAGTTCAGGGATGTCATAACCAAGCATATCGTCAACATCTTGTATCATCTTTGGCTTCAACTTTTCGAATCTATCAAAGCTATAACCACCAAGAACTTCCCTGAAGTGTTCGACATTTGGAAAATCCCCAGCAGGCAGATGGAATTCCCTTTGAACCTGTTTGGATGAGTTGGGCATTAACATACAAGACTAGTGCTCAATATAGAAATTACTCCCTCTGTTTCATTATGTTTGTCTGGTTTTGACTTGGCACGGAGTTTAAGAAAGTAAAGAAGACTTTTGAATCTTGTGATCTTAAGTTAAAAGTATGTAGAACTAATCTTGTAGTCTTAAACATGTCAGGTGGAAAGTTGAAATTAAAGAGATGCCAAAAAAAAGAAGGAAAGAGACATTCTTTTTGAAAACGAACTAAAAAGGAAAGCAAGACAAACAAATTGAAACGGAGGGAGTATATGTATATGTAGCGGGAATGTACATGACAGTTTAGTGCATATGTAAGTGTGGTAATGAGAGAGTGATACCTTTCCAAATTCGTTTTCCAATTCATCGATGAGTCTCTGTTGAGTCTTGGCTTTGCCTATCATAGCAGGCATCTCTTTTCTAAGATGACTGATTATGTAAGCATGTATCTTGGCAGCTCTAGCACGTTTTACAAATTCATTGATCTGTACAAGATAAAACATGCTTCTCAATCCTTGTTGCAAAAGTATAGCTTGAGTAGAGTATACTAGCAATAAAAAACTCAAAGTTAAGATTGTGGATTTACACGACGATCACAAGCCTTCTTAGGTATGTTTTTCAAGTCTGTAAGGAGATCATCTTGCTCCTTTTCAAAAAGTTCTTTCCCAAGTGGCCCTGCTGCAGCTTCTCTCATTGGTTTGTCATTAAATGATCTAAGCAAGCGAAACACCAGAGTTAACGAAAAATGTAAAACACTAAAAAAGGAAAATGAAGTTTTAGGTATACGATATCTAAACTGAATCATCATCATAAGGACTTGAAAACATTATCTGAAATGAACACGCATATTAGATATTTACTTTCTAGTGACCATATTACATCTGACTTAAGCATTAGAGAGAGGAGCGACGGAATGGGGTGGGAAATTGTCTTAAACACAAGATAGCATCTAGTGATCAAATGTGACGTCCTATAAGGTGTATACTTTCGAGTCCTAAACACCCCAGTGATTGATCTAGACTTGGTATCCATTACAATTTACAAAAAGTTTATGAACATTGAGGAGGAGTTCACCATGTTCTGAATCCATCAGGTCACAGAGCTATTCTCTTCCTCATACTATCGCTTAGGTGCAACCCAATTACATTTAGTTGGCTAAACCCATTTAAATCAAGTATTGGACTAACTGGAAAAATGTAAAGATCATACCCAATGTAGACGCGAGCGACCTCAGGAGTATTTAGAACTTTCCCCAAAGACCACATTAATGCTCCATAAACCCTCATAAGCTGCAATTGAAACCAACTGATGAATTTACCTTGTAGCATAGTCTAGAAAGAGGTGGAAAACATAAATGATGGAAAGAAAATTGTGTTACTTGTTGAGTATCAACTTGGTCAGCTTTGTTCAGAACCACACGTATCTTATCATCATGGCCTCGAAGAGAAGCAATGACACGTTTGAATTCATCACTTATATCAAGCTTGTGAGGATCAAACAATAGAAGGATGAGATCGCACTTGGCAGCAAACCAGGAAGTCACACCAGTAAAGTCATAGCTCCTTTGTGTTCTCTGCTTTTCCCCAGATAAAACTCCAGGTGTGTCCACCAATGTAAAATGCTCCAACAACTTTTTTTAACATGAGAGAGGAAAAGTTCAGGGTAAAAAGGAGTTGAAAGTGTTCATAGTTTTGTTAAAGGCTTTTTTGATAAGTAAATTGATCAATAACTCACAGGATGCGCCATTTGAGAACACTCAAACTTTGACAAAAATGCAGTTCCAAAAGTTGTCAGACCGCTAAATGGCATATCTGCTTGAACAGCAATTGTGTTTCCTGGAATACTTCTTTCATCAGGCCCATTCTGTATAACAAACAGTCAAAAGTGAACACCAATCTAACAAAGGATTCAACATGCAGCGAGTTTTGAGAAAAGTATTAGCAAGCATGTATCGCATTGGTGAAACTATCGCGAAAAAAACATCAGAACAGTGAGCTCCTTAACATGGTAAATAGAAACATATATGGTAGACTGTAACAGAGAGAGAATAATATACCGTAGTGGTTAGTAAGAGTAAAGAAATGGAACATACCATGACAACTACAAATCTGTCTGTTGTAGGCTCTGGTCCAATGTGAGCACCTATAGACAGACATACGGGATGCAAAAATGTAAACAAGAGCCTTTTGAATACATGAACAAGACACTTACACAAGAAAAAATGAGTTTTAGCTAACCTGGATAACTCATTTTGAGTAAATGTTTAATGAATGTTGTTTTGCCAGTGGAGTATTGACCCAAAAGCATCACCATCGGCTTGGCATCAAAATCACTATTCGTCTGTTATGCACAGCACATATCCATAGCACCTCAGCTGTTTATTTATCAATATATTCCCCTACCAATATAAAGGAAGCATAACTGAAGGGAAATGCACCACCTACCAACAAAGGAGAGACAAAATCATTAAAGTGATATGCGACTTCTAGCGGCTTTAGTTTTTGGATGTACAACTTCTTCAGTCCATCAACTATTGATGTGACGGAGGTTAAAGAGATCTGCAGGTAGATGACAGGAGCCAAGTATCAGGAGCAAACACAGAATTAAGCATTAACATGCCGTAAACTGTTGTAGGGTGTGCTTGAGAAATTTGGGGATAGGAAAATCCCATGCAATAATTTCAACCAATATTCTAATAAGTATAATCAAACAACTGCATACTGATGGACAAGGACAAAAATACTTGTTGACAACTTAGTTCGATAGAGAAACACCACATGCAGAATCTGAGCATGTTACTGGAGCTTGTGGAGGTTGTATAGCATATATAACACTTAGAACGGAGTTCAGTCATCTGAAAAATGCAAGTTTTGACAAAGAGGACATACCTTCTTTGAAGATTTTGACGATGAAAACCAACTAGTTGTTGGTGCAGCCGGGACAGGAGCACTGCCTGCTTCTCCAATCAATTAAGTTAGATCCAACCATACCATCTACCTCCTTTCTCCACACTCCAAGAATATAAGGAAAGTAAAAATAGAATAACTACTTGTATGTAATGAGGTATATTACCATTCTGATCCTGTTCGCTTTTAGGCATCAGCTTCTTCTTCTGTTTTAAAAATACTAATATAAATAAGGTAACAGTTCAGTGTTAAATGAAAAATAAGGTAGAAGGTGAATCTAGCACACTTACAGCAAGAAGAACATCCAGACCTTCCATCGCAGGAGGTGGCAAATTTTCAAAGTCAACTGCAATGGATTTCACATGCATAAAATCAGTATATGAGAAGAATGTTGTAGGTTATAGAAAGTCATACAAGGCAGGAGTAGGAATCATTTAAATTTTTTCTTGGAATTATTCACAAATTCATTTCAACACAGAAAACTGTCAGGACAACAAATCACTTAATCTGCTAGACTTCGCCAACGAGTGAATAAAAACTTAACTAGAACACATTATAAAATAAAAAAACTTGAAACTATGCAAGTTACCATCAGCATTTAAAAGATCACTGGTTACTGCATGGCCAGCTTGCGCCAAAGCGACCAACTACATAACGAAAAGCAAAGAAAGATCTCTTTTTCAGATGGATTAGAATTAACACCCAAAAGAAAAACTGAAATGAGAGCATGGAAAAAAGTAGTACCTGCATTCCAACAACAAAATCTCTAAAACTGAGAAACCCTTGTCGTTTGGAATCTGCAATTGCCCACACCTTAGGAAAAGAAGAGAAATGAAACTAATTGTTGAAACAATTTTAAGCAGTGTTCAATGAATTGTCAAAACTGGGAGGAAACCACAAATTTAAGAGGTCAATCAGATTTTGTTTTAATCAGTAAGGAAATTGTTGAAAGAGGTCAATCTGTGCACAAGCTACTACTATAACGTCCGTACGTATACACATCCAATGAACCACAGGCTTTAAGAATCACATAACAGAATGGTAAGCATTTTCTATCCAGCATCCTACTTCAGAAGAAATTTATCAGCACCACACAAGTCTAAGTGCTTAAACTGTTCATGAATTGGAAACAATGATACACAAAAATCAGCTCTATCTATCAGCTTTCAACTATAGCTACTATGCATAGTACTTGAACTGATTCCAAGAAGAACTGAAAATTATCTTCACTACATGAGCACCTAGAAGCTCACTAGTTGATAACTTATCCTCATATACAAATACCAAAAGATGAATAAGGCCTTCAACATACTTCTTCTATGAAAAATATGAAACATTGAATATGTTCAAATCCCAACACAAATGCTATGTGATTTCCTTACCATTTGTCTAAACGTTGATGGACAAAGTTACCCGATATCTGCTAGTGACGGCTAGTAAGCAAGGGCGGAGCAGAAGGGTGCAAGAAGGTTCAATTATACAATGTAAATAGAAAAAAAAAATGAATTTCACATATATATATAAGTTGTTGAATCCCCCTTATTTCAATTCTGAGCTCGACACTGGTAGCAAATTACCATATGGAATAGTAGAGGTGCGGGTAAGCTTGTCTAAACACTACCATTGTAAAAATACTACTATTCAAGATTGAAAATGATAGCAGTACTGGACATCAAATAATCAAATTAAAAGAAATTCAAAGTTTTGTACTCAATTAATTTCTAACTGTTCAAGCATTGACAAACATGAAAAGATAGAAATGAACCTGCTTGAGTTCTGGTCGAGGCAAACTGGACATGGCAAAGAATTTGGTGGCATCTCCACCAGTGAGACGTCCATCTCCATCTGTACCAAATTAACAACCCCATTATTCAAAAATCATTTCTTTTTGCTCTTATTTTGAACAAAAACACTAAAAAGGATCAAATTTTTTTTACCAGAATCAGCAAAATTGAACCATTGTTGATAGATCTTCTCGTGTTCTTTTGAACATCGATTAATGGGATTTGTATCAAACTCCATTTGTCAAATGATTTCTTCTTCTTCAAATGCCTGCAAGATCTACCTTATTTGCTTAACTATAAACACAGATCACTTAATTAGTACTCAAAGTGCAGTTTACACAGCAAAAGCCCATTGGGCCATCAAACCACAAGCCATTTATAACTGTTGTAATTTTACTTGGTCACCCCCTTTTGGAAATATACTGTATACTCTCTCTCTCTCTCTCTCCTCTGGTGCTGAAGTGGCATGTCACGTGATATCCATCTCATCGAAATGTCAGGCCACGTAGGATTTTAAAATGTCACGCTGGAAAGCTATTAAAAATGAGGTGTGTATGATAAGTTTCTTGACAGCGGGGTTAGAAGTAGTCATATGGTATAACGATAGACAAACTTAATTAGTGAATGAAAGTAGAGGAGTATTTATTATCCTTTTTCATTTCGGTTATCACATAATTTTTTGGTAGTTATTGTTCTTTTTTTATCTTCAGAATACTTTGTCATACTTTCTTCACTTCCGTTATTTCTTTTTCAATTCTATATTTTTCAAACCTTACTTGTGTGTATGTTGTATCCCTTTCATTGTCAGGTGTATATAAGTTAAGCTCTTTTCGATATTAGATTAATAAAACGCCAAAAAGAAAAATTAAGATCATGATAATAAACAGGAGCAGGAAAAATAACAAGTAAATAACATCATTTTACCTCTTATAGATCCAGTATAATATAATACAAAATTGAATAAATAAAATAGCTCTATACATATTCACCCACATATTCCACACAAGCATCTTAATTTCTGATTGAATATGTAATATGTTACACTCTAAACAATAGCACAAGCAATAACAGAAACCTTCTCAATTCAACCAAAAGTTGATCAAACACTTCGAAAATGTCGTAGGATGCGTGTCGAATCCTCTAAAGTAGTATGTTTTTGAAGGATCTGACACGAGTGCGGCATCATTTTTGGAGAGTCCGAGGAACGTAACAAATCAATACCCAATGATTCAAGCAATGGAAGCAACAGTTTTTCCAAGCAACCAGAGGACCAGTGCTAGTTCCATACCAAAAATAGTGTGAAGATAGGATCTATCCAGCATAAAGCCATATAGAGTAATTCCTGCTCTGTTATGCTCAAAATATGTCACTGTAAAAGCAAAAACTATAGTTAGTCGATCCGAACAATACACGTAATAAAGTCTTGGTAGCATTTTTTAAGAGTCCGAGCAATATAGGCTAAAAGTCTGAGCAACATAGCATTTTGGAAGAGTCTGACCATCATATATAGATGGTCTTTAACCTCACATATCGTACACATCATATCGAAGAGGTGTACGTTTCACCACTTGTTTTTAGCTTTCAAGTCCTACGTACCCTCGTTGCTCTTTTTGCTTTTGAAAACACTGGGGATAAAAAAGAAACAAGTGAAACCAGTATACCTAGTGCCTGCCTTTTCTGGAATGAAATTGTGCTATATGCATATGAGTGGACAAATTTTGTGTTGTCGAACTCATCTTCCTCATCTCCAACATCATCAGCATCAGATGACCCTTCGGAAGTGACAGGGAAAACTTGGTTGCTGGCTATTTGAGATATTGGAGGAGTTTCACCCTCAACTGCTTCAAAAGAGTCAACTGTTGCACACACGTGCCACTTAGCCGCCAAGCATGTAACAGCTTGTGCCTTATGGGTAATTCTGACTGCACCTCTCAACAGTATCAACAGCCCGGCAAGAAGGCTCAGAGAGCATAGCTGCATATCAAGAAGAAGACGTTTACATCTAGTCAGAGCAGTACGAGCATTTAAAAGATGATCCAGGAACAGATAGGCAAAAAGAGTGTTGAGGAATTGTAGCTTTCCTGAACAAACATGTCTTTTCGAATTTAACTTTAAGAAATAACAATAACAGTAAGTTTTACTCTTACTAAACTAAATATAAGCCATCTTCTTAATTTCATATTTCCTTTAACTATAAGGACATAGTAAAGAGAGAATTTGAAGCACTTGAACTTCCGTTAGGCTAATAGGGAGATTCTAACGCTTCATAACCAAAATCTGGCTCAACAGTGTCATTTGCCGGTTGATTATAGCACTGCATAGCTTAAAATTGGCTCTGCAGTGCCATTGCTAGATCATATCCCAACTGTCCCGAGACATTACCTTTGAAATCTCATTATTTTTCACTTCATCAATATTACAAACTGTGCAACATCCCACACAAGAGAGTATTCGTCTAGGATTAAAAATCGTAATTTGTTATAATTTTAGTATGATTGTCTCTTGTTGGAAATGCCTGGACAGTGAAGTATTGCATAAATTACGGCATACTATCAAAAGAATATGTGATCAATGACAAGTGTAACTGTAAATCCAATTTGTTGACTTAGTTCATTAAAGAGGAATTCAAGCAAAGAAATGCAAGGGATTTCGTTGAAACAATTTTAAAAAACGAAGCACAAGATTATATTTGACAAATAAGATAGCTGATGAGAAGCCATACCGCGAGTTCACCACTCTTGTAGATATGAAGATCAGCAGTTGATCGTGTAGTCATGAGAAGGGACGCAAATTGACTTGCTGTGACAAATACCAATCCCAACAAGATAAATCTACGGTACCTATGGCTAATGATCCGCAAGTGCCTCCTGATTCTAAGGTGCTCTCTCAACACCGTCTCAACATCAGAATCAATGTGGAATATCTGAGAAAAATCTCTCAATCGGAGAATCTGAAGGTAACAAATCAAGCGAAAAAGGACACACACTAGGAAGAACACAGTCGTCCTGTAAAGCCATGAGCTCAGCTCCAGAAGGCACGCGACAATGTCACTCACAATGACATTGCCTAAAAAGGGGATTTGAGTTCCACCTGAACTGTACCACCAAATTTTATATATGCTTTCAGCAGCGAAACATGGCAGGACAAATATGAATAGGATCTTCAACGATCTCTGCATATCGAAAAAAAGGATTATCGTTACATTACATCATGCAGTTCGATATACATTTCCACACTAATTACCAATTTCAACAAAGAAACCAACTTGTGATGAACATATCATGACATTTCTTTGTAAAAAGATACAAAAAAAAGATATTCATAATCTGATTCTCAAAATCTGAACAATATTCAGAAAATAAAAAGATAGTAATTACAGCAATAATATTGAGTGTAACAAACAAACAAAAAGATAAATCAAATTTACACAAACAAGTCAGCTAATTTTGACTGATATTGAGCAAACAAAGAACCACCAAACATTGTGATGGATCAATATAATCTCATCAGACTTAACCAGAGGTTTCGAGTTAAATACTTTCCTCTTTAATGAGCCTTACACAACATGAATCCTAAACGGACTTGAAACCATACCACCCGTGACAGAACCAGGATTTTCACTAACAAGATTCAAAATATAAAAAGGAACAAAGATTTTCACTAACGAGATTCATAATATAAATATAAAAGAGACAAACACATGAAGAATTAAAAGGGATTCTACTTTATATACACAAAAATATGGGAAACCAAAAAGACAATAAAGAAAGAGATAAACTCACATTGAGCTCTTCCATATAGCATTTTCTAACAGTCTCACTTTCATCACAAAGCTTATCAAGAAACAAGAACCTACGAAGCCCAAATTTCTTCATAAACCTAGTAAGACAAATAAAAGACAGAGCAGCAACACCACTAAGAGACAACTGAACAACATTGTCATAAGGTCTATCATGATTAGCATCACAATCTGCACAAGCCAATAGAAAATGGGACAAACATGGAACAACAATTGCAAATATTATAAAAACAAACCAAGACAGAACAGTAGATAATGTATCAGATTGATCCACACACATCCACTTCAACCATCTCCTAAAAACATGCAATTCATCGTAAGCATGTGATGTACTACGTGCATATAATATACTCTTCTTGTTCAGTAAAGATTGGCTTTGGCTTTGGCTTTCGCCTTTACTTTCATCCCCCATTGAAAAAGATCAAATTTTTTTCTGGGTTTTTGATGAAATTGCAGAAAGTGTAAATCTTTTTTCTGGGTATTTGATGAAAATGGAGAAAGTTTCAATCTTTTTTCTGGGTGTTTGATAAAAATGGAAAAAGATTAATTTTTTTTTTTTTTTTTTTTGGGTGTTTGATGAAATTGAAAAAAGCTTAAATCTTTTTACTGGGTATTTGATGAAAATGGAGAAAAAAATGATTTTTTTTTTCTGGGTGTTTGATGAAATTGCAGAAAAATTAGTTTTTGTTTGATGAAAATGGAGAGAGATTATTGTGGAGTGCCGGGATTTGTGGATCTGGTGAGGTTTAATGGAGTTTGATTATTGGAAGAGAAAGGTTTATATACATGTGGTGGGGTAATGTTGATTGTGAAAAATACCTAGTACAGCTGAGACTGAAGATCATGTTTGCACTAGTTGTTTTGTTTGGGGGATTTTAACTTGCTTACGATCGCCGCGGCGGAGTTAGAATTTTTTATGAAAGAAGGTTTGAAATAAACGTTCTAAGAAATCAAAGAACACATTTTAATCATGTATGAGTTGTGTTATTTTCTGTCGAGATGAACACTTACTATTCTATTTTATTGAAGATATTTATAGTTATAAAAAAATTATAATTTATTTTAAATCTTGATTTTAAAAATTCTCCCCTTTTTTTATATGTATTTGTTTTGAAGTCTTGATTAATTTGAATTTATATGGCATGAGGTTCAAGATAGATACCACTGCAAAATATTTTATCAAGAGGTTTTAAATGGTCTTTTCATTTCTGCATTCATTGATTTACTTTTCATATATTAATACGTTTGCTATAGACGATAATTCTATATAAAAGATAGAGTCTTATAATTGTATTCGAATTTATTTTGATTCAAATTATTATCTATAAAAATTATGGTCGTGTAACTAAAAAGTTACAACTTCAAGCTGTAAAAATAATTGAAAATAAAAGATATATAAAACTATTGTTTACATTTTTTATGGGAGGTGGGAATAAATAAAATGGTAGAGGAGTATTAAATATGAAAAAAAATCTTGGTAAAAACTACTTCATTTCGAATGAGATCATGGCATGAATTCAATATAACTAACCTCTGATGTAAATATCGAACACTCGTAGAAATCAAAACAAAATTGGCAAAGGAAAGTATCCTTTGGTCGAGAATAGTTGCCACCATATACTGTATTTCTTCTGGATTCTTCCATGTTCCAATCAACCTCCATTATTTGGAACCATCTAAATGGTGATAAAAACAAATTTTATTCGTTTCAATTTATCTGTCCTATATTAGCTTAACATATAATTTAAGAAAGCAACGAAAACTTTTAAATCATATAATCTTAAATGTGTCACGTTGAAAAGTTAAAATTAACAACTGTCGAAAAATGAAATGGACATTATTTTTTAAATGAACTAAAAAAAATATGACAAATAAATTGAAACCGATAAAAATATGTTAGCCAGACATGTCACTTTCAGATTAGGAAAATTAAACATTTTGTGTTAATATTTTGTGATAGTGAAGTCAACGGAACTTTAAGCTAAAAATAACACAACTGGCGCTTAAAGACGTAACGGAGTCGTCAATCACCTAAACCCTGTGGGAACATAGTTTTCGTATTCTATTTTAACTTTCATTTTAACTTATTGTTATATTTATTTAAAATTATAAAATATAGTTTGTTAAAAATTATTCTATTTTCATTTAGAAGATTGGATCGGATCAAAAGAGAAAATCAGTTGATCTTATGTGAAATCGAATGATTTTAGTTGATTTGTAAGAGCCCGTTTAATTACGTATATTTATGTTAGTAGCGATGAAGACATAAATAATTACATAGTAGTATAATAAAGAAGAAAGTTAACCAATAAATAAAAATAAATAGATTTTCTCTTTAACAACGGTTGATTTTTTTATTTATTTTTTGTGTATACTTTTTTAATGATAAATGTATAATTGATTTAATCTTGAATTCTTACAATGATAATTGTCAATTGCATGCCATAAAATAAAAATAACAGTATTCATAATTATAATTATTTTGCTTCCTTGCATCATTATTGCTCTTGATTCTTTTAATTTAATTTATAAATTATGGGATGATATTCGTTACAAAACTAAAGTCACTTCTTTAGCCACATGCTTTAGAGGATTCCTGACCCCAAAAAAACATCAATATTATTTTATTAGTTAATCTATAAATCTAAGTTAAACTAAAGTATTTAAAACTCCAACATAATGCCACGAATATTCATTATTTAATGTTTTGATAAGAGTACTAGGGAAATGACCAATCAAATTCAGACATTAGGCCCCTCATATTTATTTAGTATTCATGGCTATTGTACTTTATTTATTGGTTTTCAATGGGTGTTTGATATTCTACTGGAGCTCGACTAAATTTAAGTTCAGAAATTGCAAGGTCCACTCCTAAGGTTAGCGTTTCAAACAAAGAAAAATTTATTAATAATTACTCGATCTCAAAATCTCTAATTAAAAATTAAATAATCTTAATCATCTCATCCCAATTCGATCCATCACAAATGAAGTGTTTACTTGTCTTTATTGTCTTTCTTTCTTTATTTCTTTCCCTTTTTTTTTTTGTGGATGTTGCCAAACCACCTCATTTGGATCCAAGTCTAAAAAAATAGACCATTGATGTCAAATATTTAGTTGTAATATACTTTTGGAAGATCCATCATTATGAGTACGATGTTATTTTTTTAAAATATGAGTGGCATAAGAAATCAAATAATTAAAAAGATAACATTTTGATTTTTAAAAGTCGTATATTTTTGATGAATTCAATACACGTCTAATCCAATAATATTTTTAAGAAATTCGAACAACGAAAAAATCAAATGGTCCAAGAGACAACATCGCATTATACGTTGCAGCTGGTACATGTGTCTTATGTCTACAGGCAAACAATTCAATCAATCAGATGGCCAACCTGCCCACTTCTTATTTTAACCACATGTGATGTCGACTATTTGTTCGAGTCGATAGTTTATCAGAAATATAAGAATAAGATTTATGTATATCTTATTTTTATTATAATTAATTTATGAGATTATATTAAATATATTATTATTATTATTTACGTCGACTTCATATCTTTAAAGATGCATTTACCAAGAAAAAATAAGAGGAAAAGTAGGGAAAAACTGTATTCTTATGTACATTTGTTAAGCAAGAAATTGATGATATTCAAGGGATTAATAAAAATATTTTGTATGGAAAGTGATGGTCAATAATTTTGTTAACACTTGGTATAAAACTATTGGGGTCAATGAATAAAAATTAATCAACCTTTAATTTGTACAGATAAGCAAAGGTTGTTTTTATCTCTTGATCCACTAAATTGAAAAATAAAATTAGACAAAATAAATAAATATTACTAGGAATTAAAAAAAAAATGACATCTCTATTTCCCCAAATGATATGTTTACAGCAAAGATGTCATTGGACGGCTCAGATCATTTCAATTTAACTAATACTTTGGACAATGTCAATTGCATATGTCAACTAAGTAAACAAATAAGAAAATTCATCTAAACATTTTTTAAAAAAAGAAAAAGAAAAAAAGAGTTTGTTTGATATATAGTTGCATAAATAGCCACAAAGCTTGCAAAAGTCATAAGTATTCTCCTTCCACCCCACACACCCCTTGGACTTGTTTAAGATTATTATGTTTGTTACGAGAGATAAGGGATAATAATCCTAAAACGAAATATAGAACTATTTTATCTTACGTGTGGTTAGAGGTATTAGTTATTTAGTTAGTCTCAGTATAATTCATCCCACCATTTATATTATAATAATGGGATACCTAATCTCAATAGGATATCGATATTCATGAGATAACTTTGTTTATCTCATCCTCGTACCAAACGACCCTTTGTTATAATGCTCTGTTAGTTTTATTGTACTATAATTGAAGTTAGTTAATCTTAACCAAAATTGATAAATAGCTACTTTTAATAGTGGCTATTTTTTAAAGATAAGGCTGAAAAGTGAAAAGTGAGTTGTACATAAGTGAACACTTAACTCTTACTCAATGGATTAGAGGAGATTCACACGCAAGATTTGAACTTCTATAATAATGGCTATTATTTAAAAACAAGCCAAAAAAGTAACAAGTGAGTGCTACTTCTACGAAATTGTTACTTATATTTGCTCAAACGTTAGTTAACGTTTTGAGACCTACAAGGATCGTAGTGGATGGATAGAATCTTTTCACTCTTAATCAGACATCACCCGAGTCTTGAAAATAAAAAAAGAAATCCTTATTGGAAGCTCCTCTCTTTCTAATGGACCAAATAAATCAGAGCCCAACAAAAATACATAGTACCAAATTGGAGCAAAACGATGCAAACAACCACCAAATGTCATTAATAGTAGAGATTGATATAATCCCTCGAACCTTAACTAAAAGTCTCGAGTTCAAAAATCTAAAATCATTCATGGTAACGGGAGCATTTGGCTGACAATATATTAATCGCTATCCACCCCAAAACATCAAAATAAACGATATTAGTCGTGGTGAGTATTGATCACTAGATCGTTTCCAAAGGATCCACCAAATTTTAGGTCAATCGGAGCCTGTCAAAAACTATGTAATTGGCCTACTGATGTAGCCAATACTAAACTCAAACATGGAACTGACTGGTATGTTTAGGTAAAAGCAAGCATATGCTTATTCAAACTAGTCCATCAATATGGAAACAAAAACAACAAAAGCTGCAAATGCATGAAAATGTGGGAAAAGTAGGAACACAAAGGCTCCATCACATTATTGGTGGTGTATAAATCTGTTCACAGAAACACTTAAATCCTAAAGTTCTACAAATACATACACCAGAATAGGTAACAACTAATAAGTCACAGGATATAAGCAAGAAACAAAATTTAAATAACTTCTTGAGCGATAATCCCTTACAATGTCAACGTTAAGCCATTGCATGACATGCCATATAACATTCTCGTAGAAACACATATATCACGAGTAGCTGCATTCGTGACAATTATAAGAACAATATTAAGGCAACTAAGCTTATTAAATGGGGAAATCAAAAGTTAATGACATGAAAGCAATTCAAGAATGACACACAAAAGGAGATAACAAGATGCAGGACATAATAGGAGGAAGGAATATCTATTAGAATGATATCCCATTGAATAGCATGCTAGACAGCACTCTTATGTACAAGTACATCAATATTTCGCGAGTAGCTGCATTAATGAGACCTAAAATAAGAAACATATTAAGGCAACTACAGATATCAACTTAACAAAATAAGGATCTCCTAAACCACATATAAATGACACGATCAGAAATAATCCAAGCAGGCTCTATGAAAATGTAACTACTACGTAAAACCATGCACCAGAAAAAATCTTATGTGCCAGAATATAATGCAAAATGGATACACCAATAAACATTGCATGCAAGTTGAATACATTAAAAAAGCTGAACACTAACTAGAATCCTACATCCAGATTACTTGCAACTTCTAATGCTCATATCAAAAGATCACATCTACA